TAATAGCGAAATGTTGATTTAGCGAATCTCTCTTGTCTATTGTTGATTTCTTTGTTTGGTGGCCATTTTGAATTTATAATGAAGTCATTAGCGACATCTTGAATTAGCGAATCAGTTCTCTCGCTAAATTTGCGAAAAAGACATGCTCGCGAAAAAGACATGTTTATACCTTTTTCCTATATTTTACATTCAACTCGTCCAAAATCTGTGAAAATAAATTCCAGCTAAAATAAAGTATTTTACAGTATTCAATTTTGCAGGTGGGGAATTTTGGCAGTGAAACTTGTGTTTCTTCATTATGTAGTCTTCAGGACAAGGAATGCACACCAAACTTCCTTGAATCATCACTTTATGACAATCCCTAGTCACAAAAATTAAATAATGCCTTGTTTTGTTTTGTTTTGTTTTCTTTCTTTTCAGCACATTGAAACTTTGGGATTACAGTAAAGGAAAATGTTTGAAGACTTACACTGGACATAAAAATGAAAAATATTGCATCTTTGGTAATTTTTCTGTTACTGGAGGAAAAGTAAGCTGGTTACTGTTGCTTGAGTGTAGTTGATGATATTTGTAACTTTTTTTATAAAACCATTAGACTTCACAAAAACTGACACCTGGGAAACAGTAAGTAATTTTTTGTAACTGGTGCAACCAATAAAATTACCCTGCCCTCTGTATCAAGCTTACCCCCACCCCCATATCAAGCTTACCCCCCAACCCCCAACCCCATATCAAGCTACTTGTGTTTCCCATGTGACAGTTTTGATGATCGACAGGCCGAAGCATTATCTAATAAATTGATCAATAATCCTAATATTTGGCATTAATTAGGTTTGGAAACAGCCATAGCCTCTGTAATTAACTTTATCATGATTTGATATGGATATTAATGAATATTAAATACAATTTACTGTGAAATACTTTATTTTCGCCTGTAATTAATTTTCGCTGAAAGAATGATCCAGCGAATATACCTTTTTTCCTACATTTTACATTCAACTCGTCAAACATCAGTGAAAATAAATTCCATACAAAACACCCAAAAAGTCTTTTCAGCGAAAATTAATTTCAGCTGAAATAAAGTATTTTACAGTAGTTGTTTTTCTACATGTAGAGCATGGAATATTTAGGTGCACACTGCACTGTGCATTTAGATCTGATCCCTTATATTGGTGGTGTGCTTGTAAGAAATAGTACAAATTTAATCTAATATACAGTAATCACTAATAAGAATTGATTCTATGATTAAAATTAAATAAAAATTCGAAAACATAAAAAAGTAAGTTTTCACTGCATCAGTTGCCAGTCAGTAATAGAGTAATATAATTATAAATAAAATGTGTTTTTTGTTTTGATGGCACATACTAGATGATTGACATAGAAGATACTGTAAAATACTTTATTTTCACTTGGAATTAATTTTCGCTATTTTCACTGAAGGAATGATTTCAGTGAAAATAAAATAAAGCGAATATTCTTTTTTTCCTATATTTTACATTTAACTCGTTAAAAATCAGTGAAAATCTAATCCATACAAAACATCCAAAAAGTCTTTTCAGCGAAAATTAATTCCAGCAAAAATAAAGTATTTCACCAGGGATTGCGTTAACCCCATATTTTGCTTCCCGGACTCCAATTATTGAAGGGGGACCCAGTTTTTCAGGCAAGCTGGGGTCCAATCTCTAATAAAGTTATAAAGGGTCAAATTTCAATTTCTTAAAATTTTGTAAGTGGGACTCGTCTTGCCGAGACACTAGCGCACACCCTGTTTCACAGTATTATAATCCCAGAAAAACACAACTACATACTGATGATGCTGCCTGAATTAGCACATTCTAACAACTTGTATTAAAGCGAGGGAATCGTCACCTGCGCATGTGTCAGATGGCCATAGCGTGTCATTGTTTACAAACAAGCGTCTACCCATGAGCCTTTGCGTTTTTAACGCGTGTTGCTATCGTCGGTTGGGACTCGGTTCCCACGCATGTGCAGGTGATGACCCTCTCGCTTTAACAATATTTGAAGCGTGTAACTTTAGCTTGGTGCAGCTAATTGTCAAACCTACAGTTTGTTGGTAAAATTATAGTTTGATTAAATTACTGGACAAACTAATACTTAAACTTAAAGTAGTATTGTGACAGATGTGATTATAACTGTTGTGGAATTTAACCTTTTTCACCACCAGTTCCCGCATTTCATCTCAAAGTCCCATTTATAGTCTGTACTTTCCTTAAAAAGATGGGAACAAAAATAGCCCATTTTTAGCTCCGCTGTCGACTTTGTCGAGTGGAGCTTATCATATGAGTGCAGTGTTCTCCCCAGGCCTTTCAAGGACTGCGGGCCCGCGTCGCTTAGACAAACAGCCGCGTCGCTTTTGTTTCGCCCGCGATCCTTGAAATCCTGCCAGCGATGCTTATTCACGTTGTATTGTTTACAAGTGTCAGCCTCGTCTAGCACATCTTTAAAACAATAACATGTATTAATCGAAAGGTAA